GATTCCTTCCTCGAGGTAGATTATTCCTGCGTTTCGGGCAGACTCGCTTGTCCAGAGGGATTTTATAGAGCGGGCGTAGGATTTTAAAGAATCCGTGTTTGGGTTTTTGGATGAGGAGGTGCGAAGGGTGGTTTGGAGGTTGTCGTCTGATAGCAGGATGGATTCTTCGCCTAGTTGCTCCGGGCGTTGGTGGCGGGTGTAGCCAAAGGTTGTGAAGTATTCTTCGTCTAGAGTTATATCGTGGTTGCCTGCTATTACGAGCTTGAGCTCGGCGTCGGCGTCGATGAGCATGGCGATCATTGCTTCGTGCTCGACGCGGTACCCCACCTTTGTGAGGTCGCCGGCGTGGAGGAGGATGTTTGCTTTCGGGAGTGGATAGCGGTAGGCATAATCGGTTCTTTGAGGTGGGTGTGGTGTGCTTGTATGGGTGTCTGATATCATGCAGATGCGAGTTTTGATGGTCGCCATGTTGGTTGATTGAGGGAAGGTTGGGCTGTGGGGGAGGGGAGATATGGATAAGCATCGAGCTCGGGCCCTGGTAGCGCCCCAGAGCCTCCAAGTACCCGGCTGCCCATCACCCTTCCTTACTGCAAACGGCTCATTGATAAGTTCTATAAGAAAAGGATACATTGGAACATGTTGTCCTACATGAGTCTTACTACGAATTGTATTACTCGATACTTGTATACTACGCAATTCGGAATGCAATTACCTAAAGAAGAGATGAAACTAGGAAATAATTCCCATGGATTTGACGGCTCAGAGCTCTACAGACAAATTGCATCCTGTGGATGCTCTGATCATGACATAGCTGAAACTCCGATCCACCCGTTGCAACAACCGAATATTTTATTTTTTCGTTTACTTGCGGATAGCCTTCTGGTAGAAAGCAAGCTCCTCACCCTCCAAAATGTAACCGTCGCAGCGGCCGGACTGGCCGGGGCGCGAGGCAACAACGGCGAACAGACGACCGGACTCGAACTGGCGCTCGATAGCAGACTCGGTCTTACCGGAGTCAGCGAAGCGGGCAGCCTGCTTCTTGGCGACGGAGGCGGACTTCTTCTCCTCCTCAGTAGCCTCAGCCTTCTGCTGGCGTCTACGGCCGATGGGCTGGCCGTAGTGGGCCTCGTACCACTGACGGAAGGGGGCAGCGTCAATCTGGACAACGGCCGACTTGGTCAGGGTGTTTGTGCGGACCAGCTCGTTGTTGGAGGGGTGGAAGGACACTCCAATGATACGGGTCTTGCGGGAGACACCCTCGGAGCCCCACGAGAAGTTACCAGACTCGAGACGGAGACCACGGAACTTCTGGTTGCCACCACGGGTGCGGACAAGGTGGATGCGCTTGGTGCCAATACGGGTGTTGGCGGGCTGACGACCCTTCTCAAAAGCTCTGTAGAACAAAGATAGGTAAGAATCTGCAAGCGGTATATCGAATCCTTTTCCTCTCCTTTCAAATGAAAGAAACATTCGCTATCATGCTGGATTGATTGAATCGTACCTCTTCTTGCGGTAGAAAGCGCGCTTGGCACCGGTGGCGCTGCGCTTGTGGCGAGAATCCCGAGAAATACCCATGTTTGCGATTGATGGAGGGGTCTAAGTCGACAGACACAAGTTAGATATTGTTGATTGTGGACCTTCAACAAGTTTTCTTTTTTTTTATTTCCTTTCAATCCTTCTGTTTCGTCGCGAGCGCCGTGCAAGATCAATCTTCGAATATGGAACAGTTGGGCGACAGTGACGGTGGAGTGGTTGAATGACCGTTGAAAGCGAGACAGGATCGAAAGTTGATGTTGAGGGAATTGAATACCGATGATCGAAATTGATGGGCGCAGCGAGCGAAACAGAATTTGTCGAAAGAAAACTTGCAGGAGTTGAGATAGCCCGGTAACTCACCTCTAAATGTGCAGCCCTTCACCAGAAACACAGATTAGTTGTCGTAGGGTTGTCGTGGGAGTTTGAGGTCGTGGAGTCGCTGAATTTCGCAGGGCGCACTGTGTCGCTCGCTTGTGTAGTGCCCTAACCGACACTAGGCCACATTTGGATTAGTGGCCCCAGTCACTGGATCGGTCAGGTGATAACCATAGTTATGTTTAGTGGCTGACTCATCGTAGAGTCACGTGCTGGTCACTACATTATCATGATCTGGTCGTACGGAGTACACGATCTGGACATTCGAGCCATTTACATTACAACGTTGTACAACATTGAACCCCAATTGCGTCTATTTGCAGTTATACTCACAACTAAGACATCCATGCAAATACAAATGATCGGCTTTCCCAGCTAGTAATTGCACCTATCACCATTGACTGCCTATGCTACCCTCTACTGGCTCTTGCCGTTCTTCTTCGCCTTCTGCTCCTTCACAAACTTCTTAATGCGCGAGAACGAACCGTATCCCTCGACGAAACATGACGCAACCCACTTCCACCACAAACCCGACATAACAGGCACATTCAGGGGCTTTAGTTGAGTCACAACTAGCAACACGGTCTCAATGATATGAATAGCCACGACATACGGCTGGAGAATGCAGACGAGGCGCGGAAACCAGGGCACACGCTGGAGACCCAAATACTCGTAGAATTCCGAGCCAGGCTGCAGATTGCTGCGTTGAAAGCAGGTGATGTAGAACAAAAAACACAGCACAAAGATCACGGCCTGGACGCCGTGCGGGGCACGATACTCAGTGAGTGTGATCTCGCTGCGGCCCAGACGCTTTAGGCTCTCCTTGTGCATAGCAACCATTCGGCCGCGTGCCTCCGAGTAGTCCTTCATTGCGGGTTCGATGGGGACGCTGTAGCGGGTACCGTGAGCGGTGATGATCAGGTAGGAGGTGCTGATTTCTTCTACTTGGGCGTTTTTGGCTTGGGCGGATGTGATACCGCAGTAGGCTTGTAGGAATAGTACGAGGGAATCTTGGTGGTCGGCGTTCATGTGCTTGATGATGAAGTCTTTGGATGACATGGCGGCGGTTGTAGTGGGAGTGTAAAGTGCCAATTGGGCTGGATTCGAAAGAATTGAAACAGTTGGGATTTAAACCGAGTACCACGTATGATATATGGGGAGTTGGTAACACAACGGGTTAGTAGAAATCAGTGCCAAGGCCCGGGCCTCGGCTTCACAGTTTCCGCCATGTCTGACCCTTTACACTCACCACACTTCTACTACAACACTGCTGCACTTCAAGAAAGATGAATTCAACTCCATTCAAGTGATTGTCCAACAAATATACATAGCAGTATACGCTCCGGTATATTGCATCCCCTTGGCCCTGCACGCCAGGAAAATCATTGTAGAAAAGAAAAGAACAAGATCCTGAACGGACAAACGGAAAGGTATTAAATCAAAACATGGCTCTATGGAAAGCAGCATCGAATCAATTGAAGCATTGAAAAAGGATCACTCGTGACGACGTTGGATCTTCGTGATAGGATTGGCAATGGAACCGGGATGGGTGGTCAAGCCCTGTTGTTGATATAAAACGCGATCAACTCCTAATTCGGTCCTTGAGCAGACATTCTTCGAAGGGGTTTGGGGAGAGGAATGCAAGCCTCAGTTATTACTTACATGAGAGCTAGAGTGAGATCTCCATGAATGCGTGCCTTCAGCTCGACCTCGATTTCCAGATTCAGTTCTAATCTCAGCTTCATGCCTTCCTCGTCCAGCATTGATTTCTCCTCCTTATGAAGGACGTCCATGCCACCAGATGGCTTCAAGTCTGAGTTCTCATTCGAGTACGGCTGCATGGCTGCCTCGTCGTCAGAGTCGTCGTACTCGTCTGAATCATATTCCGATTCGTCCGTGTATTCGTCGTCTTGTTGAACGAGTTGTTTTTTCTTCTGCAGTTGTTTGTTCTTCTGTGTCTTGGTTTGTGGTACTTCTTCATCATATTCCTCGTCGGAATAGTCGTCGGCGCTGTCATAGTCTTCGCCGTCGGAGAGGTCCTCTTGCACAGGGAACTTCTTGGGCTGCTCTTTGGTTTTTTCAAGGGTGGCCATAATGGATGTGATGGGACTAGAGTATAGAGTATAGGGGTAGGAAGAAGACGGTGTCAAAAAGGAAAAAAAAAAAAGGTATAAAAGCAGAAGAGTATCTTAAAAACATAAACTATATGATGTATCATTCAAGACGGGGAAACGGCGCACAGACATCATATCAAAGTGCGGAACATGACGTTGGGGGCTGTTGCTTTCCAACTTCTCTCCAACTTCTCTCCCACTAGCCAAATCCCCAGCCTGCACTTGCTTTCTCGCTAGGCCTGACCGTGGTAAAGGCCGTGTCCATACTGAAAACTGCAGGATAAATCTCCCGAATCTGCCAAGTTGCCAACAAATTATGCGTATCCTCGTGTCCGATCCGTGGAAACAACGACAGGCTCGTGGCGTGAACCAATGGAAAAGAAAAGCAACTAGGAACAAGTAAAGCACTTGTCATCTGGCGATTTGATTGGCTGGCTCCATACTGGCAATCTATAACTGGCAATTTACCGTGAAGACCTTTGACGTCGAGTGGCGTCATATCATTTTCCGTTACGTCTGTTTAATCTATTAGTGTGGAGAACATCAATGCACTAAATTCAGCGCGATCTAGGCTGATTGGCACATGAAACTCGGTGGCCACTATATTTATCCGATGCACACTTTATATACCCAGTTGCTCCATATGCGCTCCACATCGTGATACTTGTCCCGGGACGTCATTTATGCAGTACCTGGGGAGTCTCAGCCCGATGTCTGGCACCGATGGACCCAGGAACCACGGCATTGTTCCCACCTGACGTCGGAGGCGGTTAGGTTCTGTTTATGTCCGGTTTTATCCAAGCCTTGTGACTCTGATGATATAAACGGTTGTGAAATCTACATCACATGAATTATACGCACGATTACATAGTTCATTTATTCGCGCTTTGTCCTTCAATATTTCGTGCTCGAATCAATTCATATTCCCCTCATCTCCCCTCTTAACAGCCTTCTTCTTCTTCTTTTATTTTCACTATGTCCGACCAGGAACAACCTCCTACTCCTAATCCCGACTCAACAAACACAACCCCCAACAAGCCCAAACGTGCCCCTCCCAAGCTAGGCAAGAAGTCTCCTGCCAAGCAAGAACAAACCCCTCCATCCTCGGAACAGGACCAGGACCAAGACCAGGACAAGCAACCTAAAGAAGACGAGCCTAAGCCTGAAGAGCCCGTCAAACAACAAGACCCAGAGTCCGAGCCTGAGCCCGAGCCCGAGCAAGAAGACCAGCCCGGACCAGAACCAGAGCCCCAACCCAAGCCTGAACGTCGTCGTCGCAGACCTCGTCCCCGCCCACAAGAATCAGACACCGAGTCCATCGCCCGCAGCGAAATGGAACCAGAGCCTAGACCTCAGCGCCGCGTCCGTCGCCAGCGCCAGCCACAACAACAACAACAACAAAACAGCAGTCCGCTCGGCGGGCTTCCTGGCGTTGGCGGCGTAGACCAGGCCGGCCAGCTCGTGCAGAACACAGCCGGTAATGCCCTTAACGGGGTGACTGGCAGTGCAGGCAAAGCTGTTGGCGGAGTCCTTGGCGGCGGCGAGGAGAAGAAAGAGGACGATGGTGGTCGTGATGAGCAGCTTCGTCTGCGGTTAGACCTCAATCTGGATATTGAGGTTCAGCTCAAGGCGAAGATTCATGGTGATTTGACGATTGGTTTGCTGTTAGTATTCCCTCTTTTTTTTTCTTCTTATGCACATCTAACCCTCCCATTTCCCCGTGACTCTTAACTTGACTCCATACTTCTGTTGGTGCATTTCACTGACTGACAATCTAGTAATTAATCTTGCCGCTTCACAGCAAGTAGAGAAGAGTACATACCTCTTCTATATCTGCTTATCCTTTCTCATCTCGATGAGCATTCGGGCCCCGTTCCACGGAGGTATCGGGTGTGCCTACGGATACATTCAATGACTTGTTTATGGGTTATGTTACAGTGATGCACGATGCATGGGTTGATTTTCTTTTCTTTTTCTTGTTGATATTTCTTGTCTGCAGATAGGCCATCCTCCTGGATCTGGCAACTATCCTGGTGTCTTGCGGTGTACAATACATTTAGCCTTTAGTCTTGGAAAATACCTGGGTCAGGAGAATTGGAATAATGAACTAGGCTTTTGTGTTAATATCTCTCCAACGCGATGCTGTGTAGATTGAAATGAGTTGCCTGGTAAAGAACTTTTGGCTTGCACTAAACGTTGATTCTCGAACGTGATGCAGGTGTCCATATCTCTTTAGAAAGTAGGTCAGACTTACTTGGTTGAAGCCATTAGAATGAAAAGGATATGTGCATTGGAACACTCTAGACAACCCATCTAGCTATCTATTATCATTTGTGCAAAGAATCCAATCCCAACAGAGAACCGGGCGAAGTAAAAGAAATTAAATACAAAAAGAATCAAAACACCGACAGATGGAGAAAAGAGTAGGTAGTATAACCAAATCATATATGCTCTCTTCTCGTCCTTTATACCAAGTGTATATGAACCCATCTAACCAAAGAAAAAAAAACTGCAGCTCTTTCAAAGGGCCATGAGACCATTCCATCCTGTTATAGCCTACAACCCCGCAACATACATCAGTCCGTATCCAATTGTGACAATAACCACAAAGCACATGAGACTGGCCGGGATGCCGCGAGTCAGGAAATGGTGGACTTGGAGATATCGCTGGCCGGTCTGAGGTACTTCAGTCATGATAGCAGCTAGGAGAAACAAGTTAGCAAGAGAGCTCAATACATGTGAGCTGAAGGAAGGACATACTCATATTAGGGAATCCACTCGTGGGCAATGCCATCGCAACAGAGCACATCAAGGCACTAGCCATGACCAACAAGTTGGGGTGAGGATTCTCCATGCTAACACCGATCTGGCGGACAAGCGGTAGGATGATAAGGGCGGCGACAGTATGCGAGATGAAGGTGGCCATGACAAGGATGAGAGAACAGAAGACTAAGAGGACGCTGTATAGGCTGAGGTTCTCAACACGCGCGGTGATTCCCATGGCGATTGTGTGCAGCAAGCCCGATGAAGTGACGGCCTTGCCCAGACACAGACCACCGGCGGCGAGGATGATGATCGTCCAGAGGAAGTTGTTGAAGTCCTCTTTGTTGAGGATGCCGGTGCCGAAGAAGATGACGAGAGGGATGATGGCGATGACGCCCATGTCGCCGAAAATGTGCTCGAGCTGGTGGCTGGCGCACCAGAGGACGATCGTCAGGAGCGTGACGATGCTGATAAAGGACTGCATGCCGGTCCAGCGGTCCTTGACAGGGCGGATGGGCATCACGGTTGCGTTGCGGCCCGGGCGGAATGTCACCAGCAGCAGAACCCAGATGAGTAGAATGGAGATGATGCAGACGGGCAATGCGATGAAGAACCATGTGCCCCAGCTGATGTTCGGCTGCATGTTCTGCAGGGCAATGATGTTCTGCGGCGAGGCAATCGGGGACGCTGCACCACCGACATTGGCGGCTAACGCGATACCCAGCACGAGTGCCTTGGCGAAGTCCGACTCGGGAGGCATGTTGCGCAGCAGAGGCTGGATGATAGAGTAGCAGAGCACAGGGGACGCAACATTGCTGATCCACATGCTCAAGAACATGCTCACAAACATGTTGGTCAATAGCATCACAGATGGCTTCGATCCAGCTTTGCTTAGCACAAACATGGCCATGCGCCGTGCGATATCGTACTTGGACAGCGCCGCTGCGATTGAGAAACCACCTAGGAGTAGCATAATCACAGGAGTCCACATCGCCGCGAACACCTTGCCGACTGATTCCTTGGGTCCCAGCCGCGTGTACGGCTCTTCGTCTGACCGCATGATGCCTAGAGTCACGACTAGGAATGGGATAAGAAGCGAAGTGACAAACAGCGGAATGGCCTATCACTCGATGTTAGCATTCAATGTGAGTAAATAAACAAACAGTATCCCATACCTCAGTGGCCCACAAGATACTAACGAGGACTAGCATAGCCAAGCAGTTCTGCTCCTCGGGAGTTTCCATCACGTTCAAGGAAAGCATTACGCCGAATATGGCGATACTAAATATCAGCGTACCAAAGCTCAAGCTACAGAGCCATAACGGAAACTGGAATCGACCAAGCGGGGTTGACATCTCCTGGGTGCGGATCTCGTTCTTGTCGCCCTGGCGCCGTGAGGTAGCCGGGTCATCGCCGCCCAGGAGGGTCCGGCGAATACCAACATTGGCGGCCTGCGCACGTCGTTCGATTTCGATCATCTCGCGCCAGACAGTGTTCCGTTCCCAAACGACATGCTCACGCAGATGCAGACGCAGCTCGCGCCTAGCAGACTGTTTATCGTTCTTCGTGACGATGCCCGCGTACACACCCTCCACGTTCTCAATATGGCGATCGATTTCAGCCATGGTACTTTCAGTGAAAGGTGGTGCGGGATGGACAACAGTGGCTAGGTAGTCTCGGCGCAGGCTGCGGTCCAAGGTTTTGTCATACTTCTTCAGGGCCTTGGCGAAGCCAGTCTTGTTCAGCTCGATGAAGGAGCGAAGTTCGCAGAGTGAGACGTAGCATTCGATCAGTCGCTTTTTTAACGATATACCGGTATTATAAAGAGCGCGGAAATCCTCGTCGTTCAAGTACGACTCGTGCGGTTCTCGGCTGGTCGCGAGTCCAAAGTAGGAAGAGTCTACCAAATCACCGTACTGGTCCTCCGTGCCAGACTCGCCATCGATCGACTGCGACACTCTTGGGCGATGTGAGACGGCCGCCGGGGAACGATCGTCGTCGCTATCACCACCTTCTCCTTCATCGTCCGCCATCGAGTCATTGCTCACAGCACTAGACCGCCGGCGCGGAGCCGAGACATTGTTGCCGCGGCGGGAGCTTGCCTTTATGATTGTCTCGCTGACGGGGTCCATATTAACACCGTCCGTTTCGGAAAGATATACATCAGCGTCTTTTATGAGCTCATCTGCGAGTTCAAAAATCTCCGCCTCCTTCTTCTGATAGAAGGAACAGATCTTATCCATCTCAACGTCAAGAGCCCTTTTAAAGATTGCATCCGGGTTGCTCGGCTCAGCGCCCAGCAGCGGAGCAGACTCTACATCTGTGGTGGACGGTCCCTCAACGCGATTGACCTGTTTCTCGAGGGTGTAGATCCTAGTCACGATGCAACGTTAGCACCACCGAAGTAATTATCCGGGCCGGTGCATCGATCCTGTGCAATGTGACACCAATTCAGATTCCCGAATCTGCATGTACACACTATCCCAGCCACAGACGCCCTGATATTCAACCCAACAACTTACAATTTCTTCAAATTGCTGTACGCGATGTAGTTCGAGCTCCAATCGGGCACAGCATTAAACTGAATACTATGCGAGAACTTCATCTTGGCTTTTGAATCAGGATCGACGTTCCCGTGCGATGCGTTGTGAGCGCGACGTCGGAGAGCCTCAGCCCAGAACCGAAGATGAAAGCCCTGAGGCTGGTCGTGCTCTAATGTCTTCTCCTGCGATTCCTCAAGAATATCAAAATCTGTAAGGGGGTTTGAGTTGGCGGCAAGGTCTAACCGCCTAACGCTATCTCGATATTGGTCTGAGCGAGCGGGGCCAGATGCGGTTGTGGTAGCTGTGTGGGAGGGAGGGAGGTAGTCGACAAGTTCAATGGAATCGGAGTGCGAGGTAGGAGCCACCTTCAAGAGAGAGGCCGGAGGGTAGTCGGCCTAGGTCATTCAAGGAGTATAGAGAGATGCAGGACTGAGGGGAAGGTAGCAGTGGCCTCTATCTTGGGTGGGGGCACGAAGAGGGTCGAGAAGTCCGGGTCAGCTGGATATTGGGGTTGCACTAAGTAAGGCAATGATATAGCACGGCACTCCACTGATCGGGGAAAGATCGTGTATCTGGTTGGAATCTATTTCGAGGCTGTAGACATGTAGAATATTGAACGTATTGGCGGTTTTTTTTTCTCCGACCCCAGGAACCGTTGCGCTTGAGCTATGTTGTAGATTAGGTAAGCGCCTATCACACAATGCTCTAGACAAAGCACTGAGAGAGCTGTGACAGAGAACAAGATGAGGTTGATGTATAGAAGCAATTGTATTCAAGGTGTGTAACTAAGTTTAGCTGAGGGTAGGTGGTCTCCAATAATAGGAACCGTAACGATAAGGAGTATAAGCCGCCATGTCTATGTATATAGGACAACGATATGGACATCATAAGCGACTTTAAAACTCCGTAGCATATGTCAAATTCCAACGGTTAACATTGGCTTTGCCTCGGGAAATACCGTAAGCCCATGAAGAATAAGAGTCAAATTCTGTTGACCAGACTATATAAATGTACATATGCAGAAGTGCTCAGAGATACAAGACAAACCCCCAAACCCGGATAGAAGAAATACAATCCAATAAGACCAACTTAGCGACGAGTGTTAGTATTCAGGTTCGCACGACCAGAAATACCAATCTTGTGCTGTTGGTCCCTCTTCTCCCAGACACCGCTACGACCCTCAGCAACGGCCACCACCTCAGCCGCAACACGGTTCGCAAACAGCGCATCACGTCGCTTATCCGACGCATCAAGAATCCACTTGATCGCAGTACGGCGGCGCTGGCGCAGAGTCAGCGGGTGAGGAATCTGCACGGCAGTACCACCACCGGCGATACCCTTCTGCTGACGGATGCGGAAGAGAGGCGCCACGGAGTCGACGACGAGAGTAAGGTAGAGGACAGGGTCGAGGGGGAGCTGGGATGCTGGGGGAGCCCCGAGGAGACGGCGACGGGGGTTGATCTGGGGAGGAGAGGCGGTGCGGAGGTGGTCCAGAACGAGAGACATGTTCTAATATCCAGTTAGTTGATTTTCTCAACACACCCTCGCCAAGAAGACCATACCTTCTGCGCCTTCGTCAATTTCCCACTCTCCATCATCATCTTAGTGAACTGATCCTGCATGGTATCGTAGCGCTTGCGGAAGTTCAACGTCTTCATATCCTCTGGAAGAGCAGGCGGATCGAACTTGAGCCCAGGGTTTTCCTCAAGAGCCTGACCCTGCACCTGCTCAATCATACTAGCAAGAGCAGCAGTGGCCTCATCACTAGCGCCCTCGAGTCCAGGAATATGAGGAATAAGGTTAGCCTCGTTGTTAGGCTCAACACCCTGCAGATCGTTCATAAGGCTTCGAGCCGAAGTCGAGAACGAGCGCGAGCCACCGGACTTTTTCAATGCGTCTCGCATAACCTGCGGCATGTGTTTCATAGCGTCCTTATCGCGGCTGAGGACCTGTTCCACGAAACACAGTTAACACAGGCCTTTCGGCTTTCTCATAAGACCCTAGCAAGCTCTCAGATTATGTATTATTGCTCACCTCCTCAACGGGCGTCCCTTGATCCAACTCGGGAGTAGAAGGAATACCATCACAACGCTTTTCCTTATCCATAATTCGGGAGATCTCGTTGGCCTCCTCGCTAACATCGGGCAGCTGATCGACAGTCGGGTAAGTCTGCTGATCGGGCTGTGGCTCGACCTTCTTTGAGCCATCGCGCGAAGAGCTCCATCGGCACTGAATGGGTAGTGACTGAGCGGCGCGGAATCGGACGGGGCTGGCGATGAGTGCGGGCGTGGTGGATTGGCGCAGGGCCGAGACGGCCTTGTTGGCTGTGAAGAGGTTTAGTCGAGGCGGCATGGTTTCGGTCGTGACAATTGGCCCCTGTGTAATTATTGAGACGAGGGGGTCAAGATTAATCGGCCTGTTTTGAGAGGTTTGCGGCGAGCAAATTTCCGGATTTGCTTAGTAAGCGCCAAGGATTTTGATGTGAGGTCATGAAATGTACAACAATACTTGATGGAAATAGGACACAAAAGTCATGGATACTAATTAGTCTAAGCGATGATTCAAGGCAAAACTAAGCTTCAATTCGTCGATTCTAGTCTAGCACTAAAGAGAAGACTTTTTCTGATGATTCAAGTGACTATTTAGCGCAGATATATTTTCGCAAAGTATACCGTAAAATAGATGTCGATATACATCAAGTGATTCAATTTTAATGGTGTATTTGACCTATTTTTTGAGTTACTCTTTACATGGACTTATACAGATATACTGGGACATGCAATTTTGACTACCAAGGTACTATAGACAGGTACTATAGACAAGCAGTTTTGACATAGAATACAATGAAAACACGGCAGATGCTATATGTAGCGCATGAAGAATCAACTAAACAAAAGAGAGACCTGGTCTCAGAGACGACAACTCCCACAACTCGAAAATAAAGCCTCAAACTCAAGCCATAGCTTAGTTGGTAACATCATCAGGGTAGACATAGAATGCCAAGGCCAGAATGATATACATGCCGAGACACATGCCACCCTCAAGGTAATTGGACTTTCCATCCTGAATAAGCAAGTTAACAACCAATCCAGAAATGAAGAAAGCCACGGTCTCGAAAGTCTGGAAGTGCAGTGTCATCTCGATATCCATGATCCAGCCCAGAATAACCAAGAAGGGCGTGACAAAGAGCGCAATCTGCAAGCTGCTACCAATAGCAACTCCGATCGCAAGATCCATCTTATCCTTCCACGCAACCACAACGGCAGTGACATGTTCCGCGGCGTTACCCACAATCGGGATCAGCACCAGTCCAATGAACGTCTTGCTCATGCCTGTCGTCTTTACTAGGGGGTCGATAGCATCGACTAGGTAATCGGCGCAAATAGAGACGAGGAGAGTCACAATGACGAGCACCACACCCGCAGCCCAGGGGCTGAGAATGCGCTCCTCCTCCTCGTGCTCCTCCTCCTCGGCGCCGGCGATGTTCTCGGTATCGCTACCATTCGTCTCTTCGAAGAGGTCGGAGTGAGAGCCCAGCTGGAAGTAGAGATACATGACGTAGATGATCAGGAGGATGATGGAGGTGCCGTGCGATAAGATAAGGATGTTCTTCTGCGCAGCGTTGTCCGGGTCCGAGTTCTCACCTGCACCGTCGGGATTGGCGACGGAGTTACCCGAGATCGCGGCGTAGAGGGTTGCGGGAATGATAAGGGATGCGGACGCCACAGCCATGAGCGAGGACATGGTCGATGCTACGGTGGTGTTGAAAGACTGTTCGCGGTAGCGGAGTCCACCGACGAAGAAGCAGCAGCCCAGCACGAGCAGGATGTTAGACAGGATACTTCCCAGCATACTGGCCTGTACGACGCGAATCTGGTTCTGTCTCAAGGCAATTACGCTGACCTATCAAGAAACAAAGATAAATTAGCATCGCCACCCGCTAGCACCGGTATCAATTTCAAGACTCGAGGATCGGCAAGCTTACAATCAGCTCAACAGCATTTCCAAAAGTGGCATTCATCAAGCCGCCAAGCGCTTGACCCAGAGTAGCGGCCAGCTCCTCAGTAGCAAAGCTGAGTAGCGAAGCGAGGGGAACAATAGCAAAGAAATTGAGTGTAAAGACAGCGGTGGAGTCCCAGCCAAGGGCACCGGCGATGATGCCCAAGGGCACAAAGATAAGCAAAACGTTGACATAGTCACGGATGATTGTTTTCCACGTCAGGTGGACGACGCGCATTGGCCATTGCACCCATATACGGTTGTCGTTCGGGTGGTGGTGGTGCAGTCCATGGTCGGTGTGCTCGTGAGATGAGAGGCCGGAGAAGGAGCCACGGTGTGCGCCGAGTAGTCCCGTTCGCTCACTGGCGTCCAGGGAGCCGTTGGTGCCAGAGGCCATTCTTCGTGGACCGAAAGTGTGGCTTCGAAAGTGAGAGCGGAAGTTTGGGAGAGCTGAATATAGAATTTCTCGAATTAGTTTGGTGAATTTTGCATCCGTTGCCAGAATGGAATTGTATAATTTATGAGACTTTCACAGAAAGCCGGAAAGGAGCGGATGGGGAAGAATGAGAGGATGGGAAGGGGAAAGGGAGTATATCAACCCACACATGATTTCTACTTGGTACCAAGCTTCCAAAGAGATTAAGGAATGGTTAATTGGTTAATCGGTGGGGGTTCAAGCCGCTTCCAAGGTTTTTCTTTCTTAGCGACACCGACATGAAATTTCCGAGGAATCAAGTTAGCACAGCCTTTCGACTGTTAGGAACTTGAAGAACGAAAAGTGGGGCCCTGAGTGTTTGCCAAGGTGGGTGTGGCCCAGTCAGTGGGGAGCGGAGCTTTGAAATGACGACCCATCGGCCTTGGAACTCCACATACCAGAGAATTGGACGCGATGATTGGCCACAGTTCAATGCCAAGGTTGTGCACTGCCACAGTCCACGATTGGGACGCACGGACCGATGTGTTTCGGAGATCCATGGATGCTGACTTGGACTTAATCTTAAGTCAGGGGAAAAATAACATTATGTAGATTGGAACTATATAGCACATGGTATATCTCTTTTAACACCAAAAGGAGAACCCCAGTCCATATGACAGAAAAAAAAAGGATCAAAGAAGAATACAACAGGGTAGTAAGTCACATCGAAGTGAAAGAAAAAGAAAATAAAAGGAGCGTCAAGACACTGGAGAAAAAAAAACAAAGTCAAAAAGAGGTATAAAGGATAGAATCGAATAGGAAAAAGAAAAGTGATCATCATTACTCCTCCGGCAGCACACCGTTAGCTTTGAAATCCATCCGACTGCTCTTGCGGCCGACACCCTTGAGCATACTGAAACGACGAAACACCGAGTCCCGCATCCCGCTATTACTATTATTGAGCACAGGGGACAACGGCGCCGTGCCATTCGTGGTCGTCAGAGTCATCACATTACTATCACGTGTGGCAGGCCGCGAATAATCGCGTGTAGACGGGATCGTCGACCACCCACCACTGGAGGCGGGCGCAACCCGGTCTGTGGCTGCACCGGTGGCAACAGGGCTGCGCTGCTGGGAGTCGGCGCGACTGCGGCCGTCGTGGGAGCGGGCAGCCGTGTCGTGGGGGACATTGTGCGTGTTCAATGAGGTCTGGGATTCATGGGCCACGGACGGCGAGGAGCCGTGCTTGTAGGTCTTGTCGCCGAAGAAGCTGCGGCGCCTCTCGCTTCGGCCGCCGCGGGAGTGGCTGGTTGTGCGGCTGTTAATCGTAGCCGTGTCGTCGTCGAGATTTTCGTCTTCTTCACCCACTATTTGGCCTTTGCTGTCGGATTGCTGGATGGTGAAGATGGAGTTGGTGGCGCCGTGGGATCGCTTGAAGGGGTTGATTATGCTGATCCGTTGACTGACGGATTGCCTGTCGGAGCGCTTGCGCGTGTGGGCATTGTTTCGGGCTGCGCGGTTGAGGTCTTGTTCTGAACTGCCGACTCGCTGGATAGGTGGCATTCGACGATTGTCGCTCGAGGAGGGGGACTGGCGAGCTGTTTGTGTGGGTGTAGGTGATGAATACTCCAGCGGAGCAGGGACGAGAGAACCTAACTCGGGCTCGAAGACATCTTCAAAGCGTCGGAGTAGTTCGGCTTGGGTGGCTTGGTGAGCGGGGCGCTGGTAAAGAGCCAATGCTTGTTTGATAGCCAAAGCGTGGTCGACGAGTGCAACGAAGAGCGCAGTCTCCATTGGGTCCACCGGCTGCTGTGTTGCTTGTACTCTTTCACCGTCTTCATCAAGTTCTTCAAGCAGCTTGTTCCTTGCCATCTCCGCATCGGATAGGAATACACGGTACGATGCCACACAGTTAGAGGTTGACGAGCTGTGGTCAAGCAGTGATTCCAGGGCATCGGTCAGATTAGATAGACCAGAATCCTCACCCGACGCAGCACGGCGTCCAATAAGCTGAAGCTCCTGTGTTTTGCGCCACGTGCGCTCAATAGCAGTCTGCAGAGGCGAGAGCGTAACCTCTTCGGCAGAAATGACCTCACTACGACGGAGGATATTCGGGAACGCTTCCGAGACAGTGAAGACGAGCTTTTGAACGAAGTGCTCCCGGACATCCGAGCTGGTCGTGTGTCGTCGCGAGGTGGAAGAGAAGCGAGACGGATCCGAGATCAACAGGTGCTCGCGGACAGAAGACGGAACCTTGGGGCGCTGGTAGACAGGATGAGACACATCGCGGTATGCGCTAACGGCGCTGATCTGAAGGAACTGGCCCTCATAGTCAGGAATCTCGCCAGTAGACATGACCTGCGCAGTAGGGTGTTCCCGCTGCATACGATCCACAAAAGAGGCCATGCGTTCAGTCGGACACGCTTCGAATATGAACTCCTTATCGCGTAGGCCGGGAGGAAACCCAAGACCCTTGTAGACCACACGGAAGTAACGCGGGAATTGTTTGTTGCCCTTGGCGATGTAGTCATAAATTCGAGCCATGGAGCTTTGGGCTCGGGAGAGCTTGGCGAAGTCCATTGTCGTGTGCTCATAGTGCACCGCGAGCTCCTTATAGCAAGCTAACGCGGGGCCCCAGGCCATGGCATTTTCGAAGTTCTGGATAATGGAGAAGTATAAAGCCTCTCTCCGTTCGAATGCATTCTGGGCTGGGAATGCGGGCCTGAGTAGCTCCGGCATAGGCTTGGTGGGATCCCATTCATAGAGATCGGCATGGAACTGAAGGGCAAGACCTGCTTCAGTGAAGTTACCTGCCGCAGCCTGAGCATCCGCAAGTTCATGAACGTAACGAATAAAGATGTCCTCGCGACCCATGTCCTTCATATATTCCATTAATTTCAGAGCGTGCAAACTCTGGGTTGAGGCACCGCTCTGAGAA